TCCAAGCAGCCTCCGGCCGGTGCATCCTTCCACTTTCCTACCATAGCACAGGTGATTCCAAGTGATGGGTAGAGGGACTCCACCAATGTTTTTACCTGGCATGCATCTGGAATGGACGTTTGGTTCAACGCAAAGATTGCATCCACTGTCTCAACAGTTGTCTTGTCGAAGGTGGACATGTACCCGGAGGCAGAGCGCCAGTAGGCCCAACCTTCAGCAAGGTACTTTGGCACCATGGTGCCGGTGTTGTTAGCTTTGTAAGCATACTTGATGGCGCTGCGGATTGCTGCGATTGAAAAGATCTTGTACATACCCAACTCGGCTGCTTTCACATTGTCCGCGTTGTAAGCATCGCCGCGGAGGTTGATCAGGCCGTAGTTCAAGATCTTCACCGCTTCAGCGTGCGTGTTGGTGCCATCGGGGTAATCGAAATCGCGCTTCCAATTGAACTCGTATGGAGAGTAGAGATTGCCGGGCGCACCACCGGTGATGCCGTCACCTATAACTGGATCGATGTTCCCGATGTAGAAAGCAGCGCCCTCATCCCAGGCATAGGCTGCCTCACCATCCGCTGTCTGATTGTTGGCACCCTTCCAAACCGCTGCGCCAAACTCATAGGTGGCATAAGCAGTGACCACACCAATAAGGGCTTTGTTGATCACATACTGCCTGAAGGAGTCTGTCGTGTTTGTGCAGATGCCAGTGTTGTCCAGGCATGCCAGGATGTAGTCATGCCAGATGGCAGACGTTGTGCCGTAGAGGCTAAGCGCCCCTGAGTAGAATACGTTGGTGTACTTCCCTCCTACGGTCATGTCTTTCAAGGCCAGATCCTGGAGGGTTCGCATGTTCCCCAAGCCCTTGGAGGAGAAGTTTCCCATAGTGTAGACCTCTTTGGCCATGGCGTAGTTCAAAGGAGTCTCGTCCAAGTATTTCTTGATCAAAGCAACATCACGATTGATGTCTCCATGCTCAGTGACATCATTGACTGGGCAGTAGAGCCCGTCCGACAATTTGGGGCAGGAATCCACCGGGGTGCAGGCCCCCGCCTCAGCGCCTGCAGCTGCAAGGCCCAACAGCACAAGGCGCATCAGTGCCATCTTCTACGAAACTCTGCTGGATAAGTTTCCTACAGCAAGAGCCGAGATATAGCTGTGTGGATCGGTGGCAGCATGAGCTGGAAAGCAACGAA